ATATATACATAAGTATAGATACGTATATTTTTATATATATACGCTCATTAATATATTGTGTTGATCTGTATGCATATAATGCTGATATAGGTATTGAAGATAATGTACACATGTTATATGATTGAAATATTGTAGTACCGATTGCTATGCCGGTATAGCATTGTGAGATTATAGTACAGGACTAGAGAATGATTATGGGTTGGAAACGATTCGTTTCACATACTTATTTTTGATTTGAAAGTTATTATTCTCTGCTCTCTTGTCAGGTAATGCCTATATGTATTAATTGTTCATAAACTCGTTTTTGCATATATTCCGGAACCGATTGTTTGTCTGAACATGGTATCCATCTATCCTTAGATATATGAACTATATGAACTGAGCAAATGGCATGCAACGCACGAATACAGACAGTATATACGAATGTACGTCATCCAACTTAATGGCGGTATACAGGTCTATCACACTGGATACATATACTTGTTTTAAGTCGGGCACTAATATGCACCAGAAATATAGATGTGATAGGTATTTTAATTTGTATCACAATTTCTGAGTTGGGATTTCCTGCTTTACATTGGTAACGCAATGATAAATGCCAGGATTACACATTGCGGGAGAAGTTGGCGTGATACAATGCTCAACTCGTATCCTACGTTTAATTTATGAACAACTTCCTTTTGCTTTCACTCGATCCACCCAACCGTCTCTGACAACACTTTTGTATACTGATTTCACTGTATTACTTGATACTTGCACCGGTGTGTGTGACTTGATCTAGCAGCGGGTCTCATGGAGTATACACCAGAGCCGGAGAGCGAAGACGAACACATATACGAACGAGACGAAACCGGACTACTGGACTACAGATTACGGGCCACACACCCAACGCACTCGTGGTACTATTTAAGGACCCCCCGGACGTATCTTCTCGTATTGATAGCTATACTATGTAAGTGGTTGCGGATACTCGTGTTGATATCTGTACTATGTAAGTGGTAAGGTTAGAGTGACGCGGACAATAGCCATATCATATTAGTGCTATACCGGCATGTAGGTGTGTTGGGGGTGTTCTTCTTGTGTTCTTGTTGGTTGAAATACGGTGGAGTGCAGTGTGTGTTCACAGAAGCGCATAACAACTTACCACAAGTAGTCCATGCACGATTCACTTGTTCTCTTCGTGGTGGACTCGCCTATACTCGGTGCGCTATATATTCCATGCGTACTTAAGACAAGAAGTTGATCCCTGTCAATGGGGTAAGGTACTGATGATAAATTGTTGATTGCCTTATCTGAGTTATTTTGTTCTGTGTTGTTGCTTTGCATCCGTGTACAACGCCTCACTGTGTATATAGCGCGGTCTTATCCGGGTTTTGCCGCAACGGAGATGTACTAGAAAAGCAACTGGGTTGTTTATGTGAAGTTCAAATCAACAGCCACAGGAACAGTTTCCGAATGATATTGGATGCTAAGTATATCTCCTTATACAAACCTCTGCAGGTGCGGTAGTGGGAATGAGTGCCTATAAACTGACGACGTACCACCACAAAGTACTTGCACTGGAACACGAGATAGAGACACTGGAGCAGCAACTGCAAAGCCATCCGGGAGATATTACCAAATTAGTCACAGATACAGGTGAGTTGGTTGCTTTAAGAATTAAAAAGGTAAAATCTTTGGCTTGGACAGTAGGTAGGCGGATGTTCTGATATTACGTATATTGCGAGAATCTGGTAGGTAGCGCGACCTTCAAGACAACATGTATACCTACCCAGACGATACCCACAACTGAATATACATCCCGCACACAACAAATTAAAAAATGTACTTCCCACGCACAATAGACGCAGTCAAGGGATCGAATAGTACACAAGATGCGCTGCTTGTTGACGAGAGTGATGGTGAGGGCACAGAGGAGCCGCAAACAGCAGTCGATGACGAAGAAGGTGAGTGAAGGCGTTAGTTTTACTGTTGTGTGTTTGTGTAGCTAGTGGCACTGTTCGAGAAGGAATACCGCGCCCAATTTTGATTCGTACGTCGTTGCTGAGACACGATTGACTAATGTCATCATAAGATGCAGAAGATGAGGATAACGAAGACGATACGGATGTAGATGGAGAAGGTGACGAAGATGGTGAAGATGTAGATGGTGCAGGCGACAAAGATGAGAAGGATGAGCAAAATTCGGATGAACCGGCGACGCCACCTCCTGCTGTGATCGCTATGGCTGTGATAAATGGTAAAAGCATGCGAATCCGCGAGAGCCTGTCATTGCTGTGTTCATCTTTTTACAGAGCGCAACGGCGGCTTTTAGCTTATGGGTGCCGAACTATTACATTAACTGTTTCCATGATACACTAGCCCACGCCACTGCCTTACGGGGAGATGTATACAAAGATCGATGTACTCAATGATGAAGGGTGACCCATACACTTGAGTTCCTCGTTTGTTCTCTCGCTTGTAACTCTGTGTGTCTGGTTTCCGGATTAGCCTTGTATAAGAAAATGCAATTCGTTTGATTCTATATCGTATATAGCCCCCTTTATCACTCTCCTTTCCTCGTTCTTTTCCCGAATCTAATCCATCGCATCACTCACACACCTCAGACGAGCACATACTGCACACCACTCGTGACGAGTTTGTGTCGTATACTATCGATACCTCACGCAACAGAGAGTTCTTCGACACCGACCTCACTGATCAGCGCATCAGCTATCTGGCCAAGGCAATCAGCCCTGCGTTCGTGCGTGTGGGGGGGACCGGTAATGACTGGCTGACGTACCAGGTGTGTGGTGTTCGAATGATGGACTATGATGTATCTATGAGCCCATATCTTTCTAAGGGGTGTGTGATTCTATACCTCCTGGCCTGAGTGTCCGCTTGAGCCTATTAACGATCGTCGCTTCCGGAAGAAGAGTTTGTGACTAGTGTGTGCGTGTACGCCCGTGGTGTGACAGTTCGGTCCGTAGCAATTGCCATACCCCCCGCCCGGGGTTGTGCAGTTGCAGAGATCTAGCACGCTTTGTTATGTACCATTCTGAAAATATTCGTGAAACATAGCTGAATGAGGGTCTTTAGCAAACCCCTAAACCTCCAAAACCCTGAAAATCCTGGCCCAATCCTACCCTTGCAGCTTGGTGATGAAAGCGACTGCAAACAAAAGGGGGAAGTCACAAGCCACGGGTTTCAAGGTGAATGCATGAACGCCACGTGGTTCGATAACCTAATGGGGTTTGCCGAGAGGGCTGAGGCCAAACTGATTTTTGGGCTGAATGTCCTGTACCCGTGGTGGCCGTATGGCAACGAGGGCCGAGACGAGAGTAAGTGTTTAAAAGACACGTGTATAAACCACGCCACGCTATAGCTAGCTGTCACATAGTGAGCAAGGATAGGCGGAGAGTCTTGTTGGAGGTTGTTGTGAGTTCTTCAAGGAATTTTTCAGACAGTTCAGATCTGTCGCGCATCGTTGTTGGTTTGAGGACTGTTGTTTTGTTTCGGTTTGTTTTCCTGGTGGTGCGGCACTGTACGGAGCGTCTCCGAAATACTACGAATCCAATCAGTGCACGCACAATTATAGACTCAGCCATCACAGACCCTCACGAGTACGATGCGAAAGTCATTCATTTAGACATCGTATCGATGTTGACGAATAACCTGACTCACTACACGTGCCCTACCCCCAGTTCGAATCCACGAGCTCAAGTTCCCACAATCGTCTGTGCACACATAACTACAGAGCCCATCGAATACTCTACGTGGAACTCGTCCAACAGCGCCGAGTTGCTGCGCTATGCCGTTCAGAAGAAGTATCCGTTGTGGGGGCTAGAGTTGGGTAATGAGGAGAACGTGCGCATGACCGGTAAGCGCCCTGAACACTTTGATTCGAGGCTGAACGAGCGTGGCCAAAGTATTGTGTTGTTGACGGTTGGAGCGTTGCCGGGTTGACCTACAGGCTATATGTTCGAATGTATGATGTTTGTGGTCGATTCACTTCTTATCTGGCGTGTTGTTCGCCTACTGAAAAATCTATGAAGTACATAGCTTTGCGTGGTGTTCATGATAGAAGCGCTTCATGCGCTTCATGTGGGAGTGTACATGTACAAAAAGTTCATATGTTTATATACGCCCATTTTTCTTCTTCTTCAAATTCTATGAAAGATACAATCATTTTTTTGGCATCTGGTAGGCAATCGTGGCGTATCCAGTGCCGCACTCGCGTATGGTCGCATGGAGTATTAGTATTATTCCTGACTGTGATGTATATACTCAATTAGTATTAGTATCATCCCTGACTGTGATATACACACTTAATTAGTAATAGTACTATCCCTGACTGTGATATACATACTTACTTAGTGTTAGTACTATGCCTGACTTTGATATACATTCTTTACCAGTATTAGTATTATCCCTGACTGTGATATGCATACTTCATGCTAAATTTCTGTGGATACTAAAATCCTTATCTTTCATTTGCACACGGTCTTGTAGGTAAAGATACAGCCAAGCACTACAATACGCTATCTACCCTTCTGGATGAGATCTACGGGAGCACAGATATGTCCAGGCCCGAGTTATTGGGTCCCGATCCCCATTCACACTTTATCAATGCCTGGCACTGGAATAAAGAGTATGTGCATATAGTTAGCTATCGGTTTATGTGTGGTAGTCATGCATATGAATCTGTCTCATTCCGAGTGTCTCGGGTATGTGCGTGCGCATGTTTACAAGAAGGCGTGCATGAGAACGTTGCACCCAATACGTGCCAGGATCTAGCATATTTACCCACACATGTATGCATCTGTATCTTTACCCACACATGTATGCATCTGTATTCTAACTTGTATATATTGAGATGCACTCATATCTGTCTAACTTAAGTACGGGGACGGGAATCTACTTCTCCTTTCTATTGTTGATATGATATACACAATGTATGCAAACCTTGCACCGTGCCGATGCGTGTCGAGTTGTCCTCTGAATGTCTTGAACTGTCCTTTACCATCGCCCGTTCCAGTGTGAGAATGGCTCAGAAACCTCACTTGAAGTTCGCAGACGTGTGCCTCTGAGCTCAGATCACTGAAAAGCATTCCCATCAGCTGCATAGTACTGTGATGGGGCGACTTTGACCTAACTCCCACTTTGTGCCAATACTGTACATCCTCGTTTCTCTCACAGCGGTGCCAGAGAGTGGGCAGCTGATTTTCTGGAGGGTATTGGGTCAGAGCTCACGGCCTTTACCTACCACGAGTACACAGGGTAAGACTTAGCACCTGCGCGCATGATGTAACTCTTAAGGGGAATCTAATTTTAGATAAACACACCTGTAGAATCTATTTTTAGATCAACACACCTGTATAATCTATTTTTAGATCAACACACTTGTAGAATCTGTTTTTAGATCAACCCACCTGTAGCATCTATTTTTAGATAAACACACTGTAGCATCGGTTTTTAGATCAACACACCTGTAGAATCTATTTTTAGATCAACACACCTGTATAATCTATTGTTAGATCAACACACCTGTAGAATATATTTTATAGATCTACACACACCTGTAGCATCTAATTTTAGATTAACACACGGTAGCATCGGTTTTTAGATCAACTCACCTGTAGAATCGATTTTTAGATCAACTCACCTGTATAATATATTTTTAGATCAACACACTTGTAGCATCTATTTTTCGATTTTCACACCTGTAGAATCTTTTTTAGATCAACACACCTGTAGTATCTATTTTTAGATCGAAGTATACGTCCAACAGTCTGTCTGCACTGAAGCGCACATGTCTTATGACTAGATTGCACGCCTGCATCCTTATGGATTAGCGCGTTCACCGCAACTGTTCTGTCGAATACTACATCGTGCATGAACACGACCAAACTTTCACTCGGCTGACTGAATTTATAATTGGGTCTCTTTCAGTGTGTGAGTCGTTCGTATTTAGGGTTTACAGAACCCTAAACTCTAAGACCTAAACTCTAATCACACCCACTACACCTACTACACCTGCAATACTATTCACACCTACTATACAAATTACACCTGCAATTATGTACGAGCAGTATTGTAGACGAAGAAACCACCTTAAGCCCTGACATTCTCAACTACGGTGCGCAAACGGGCGACAGAGCCGCAGAGGCTGTATCGGTATGTGTGCGTGTTGTGGTGCATGGTATGTGTGTGTGTAGTGGTGCATGGTATGTGTGTGTGTAGTGGTGCATATGTTGGTAGCAATCCCCATCACCTCTCAGCCACACACAGACACATCACAATCGTTTGTGTGCTTAGGTTGGCGTGCTTTGACTTTGTTGGTGTTTTCGTTAGAAGCAGATTCTAGTTGTACTGACACTGACGTACGAGCTCGACCTATGGGGAATAGCTGAGGGTTAAACCACTGTGTTTTGTGTGCATTGTTTCGGAGAGTTTGCTCGATAACGACCGCCTGGCACCGGCACATTATGATAGCAACATAGTATTGTGTGATGATTGTGGCTGTCACTGCTACATTATGGTAGCAACACAGTCTGATGTGATTGTATCACCTCAGATTGCATGAGTAGCCCTACAGTTACTAAAGCCCTGACGAATCGAGTCATGACATACCTGTGTGGACAATTTGCCACCATATCAACTGTAGACCCTCTTTCACACAATCCTTTCTCTGTACACCAGTACCACCTCAGAGTCCATGAGTGGAGCGGCGCTGAGGCGATTGTGACTGTAATCGTTGGATGGTTGTGTCCCTATCCAAAGTACACTAGAACTTCACACCTGATACGCAGCGTGTTCACCCTCTCCCGGCGAGCTTATTGGTACTAACCTCAACCATTGTCTATGTCTCACTCTCATTCATTTCAACCGTACGTATCTCATTAGTGGCCGTTCTCGCACCTTAAACCTTAAACCCTAAACCTTAAAACCCCCAGGCGTACAATGAGAAAGCCAACGGCCGGGTGGAGGTGTGGGCCGGAGAGATAGGCAACCAGAACGAAGGCGGCACTGAATGGGGTGCGACGTTTGGTACGAGTCTGTGGTACGCCGACTCGCTCGGCCTCAAGGCCACCCATGGACACTCGGTGTATCTAAGGTGAGAGCACTATGATATGCTAAAGTGTCTAAGGTTACTCAATACAGGGAGGATAGGTTAAAAAGTGAATGTTTGGATGCAAAAGTGGTCGTTCTTAGCATGGTATGTAGCGTATTGTATTTAGTTTGCAATGTAAAAGTAGTCTTCCTCGTAGTTGTATGTATTGTGGTAGGCAATTGTGCCACAAGTTCAGTTGGAAGTGCACGTTCTCTAATCCTGAACCCTAAAACACTAAATCCGTTAACCCGTATTGCATATCTCGTGAGACGGGAATGTGGAACAAGTTTGTCTTGAAATGCATTTTTTTCTCTTTACCGGCATAGTATGTCGCGTGATAGTTGTGTGTATTGAGAATGTATACTTTCAAGTTCTACGCATTCTGCCTTGCACCTCTAGTCGTGTATTCGCCCCAATAAGACCAATTAATACCAGTTAGAAGCTCAGTACACC